CTCACGCACACAAAAACACACTCACGCACACACGCACTCACGCACGCACGCACTCACACACACACTCACGCACACACACTCACTCACACGACACGATTGGCTCCGATATAAAGCTGAGTGAACTGGGTGAGGGATCGATCAGATTGACTCGCAGTGATCTGGAATGGAAGAGCTGATCAATACTCAGTCAGACGCTGTTGGTAGACTGGCATTCAAATACATGGTAAGATGTCCATTTCTAGTGTTTCTGAGTGATGTGTCTGTTGTGTGTGCGTGTGTTTAAAGCAGTCTGTGGTTTCTGTCAGGAGATGTGTAAAGTAGACTCCAGCTCAGACTCTGAATCAGAGTCCAACCCCAGATGGTCTGATGTCAGCAGCAAGGTATTTCTGTCCAAAATCAACCTCAAACATGAGCTAAACACAACACATCTGACTTGAACTGCATGATCTCGCGTCAGGGCTGTGAAAGCAGCACTCCAGAAGCTCCTCAGAAACTCCAGCAAAACTACCAGCAGGTAAACACAAAGCACTGATTCGCTTCTTTAGTCACAAACAAACCTGGTGTGTAAGTGATGATGATGATGATGATGATGATGATGATAATCATCAACATCATCATCTTTAAAAATATGTATTACTTTTATGTAATAAAAATGTTAATTTTTTAAAATTAAATTTACTTAAATTAAAAATTTACATTTACTTCAAAACAATAATATTAATCCAGGACATGGCCACGAAAACCTCCACTTTAGGTGTGTGAATCCAAAACCAATAAACTTGCTTTCTTTTTTCCCCATTTAGAATGGAGTTTTTAATAATAGTTTATGATCAGCATAATAGTTTTTAATATGCTCTTAATATACTCGCAATGCATGTAATGCACTTTAGCGGTCACAAAAAATACAGTTTATATAAAAAAAAAGGCATCCTGACATTACTGAAATATTCCAAAATTGAATCAATATCGGACAGAATCAAAATGAAATATAAAAAAAATGCAATACCCAGCCCTATATGCAACAATAAAAAATAAAAAAACAACGAAGGAAAAAAAATTGCAAACACAACATTTAAGCGGCTGAAGAAGAAAGAGAAACAGAGAAAAGCAGCAGAGACCCACCTTTCTTGAAGGCACGAGGGGGTTCAGAGAGATCGCCTAGGCATTGTGTATAAGCAAAAGACAAAACAAGAAAAGATTGGAATAGAAAAAGAGAAAATAACCCAGGTGAGTAAAAGAGTAGTAGTCAGGCTTATCAAGCTGTGTCTGCGGACGGAGAGGAGAATCCCGCAGGGACAGAATGATAAAGAAAAACAAAATCAAAGAACAGGGTAAAGAAAGACCCAGGATGTGTTTCTGGACAGGCCTGTCATAATGAAAGCCCTCCTGGGCTCTAATGTGTTTATTACATGGCTCTTTTTGTATATCGTGTTTTAATTTTACAGTTTTGCAGTTTCCTTAAAGGCTTGGTAGGCCCAGGCAGGACAGTAATTAATCCAGGACATGGCCACAAAACCCTCCACATTTTGAGTGTGAACACACAATACCAAAAAAAAAACGTACTTTTTTCCATTTAGAATGGAGTTTTTAATAATAGTTTATGATCATCATAGTTTTTAATATGCTCTTAATATGCTCATAATGCACTTTAGCGGTCACAAAAAATACTGTCTAGCATTAAAAAATTTGTGAAATATTCCAAAATTTAATCAATATCGGATGGAATCAAAATTATATATATATATAAATGATAAAGAAAAACAAAATCAAAGAACAGGGTAAAGAAAGACCCAGGATGTGTTTCTGGACAGGCCTGTCATAATGAAAGCCCTCCTGGGCTCTAATGTGTTTATTACATTGCTCTTTTTGTATATCGCATTTTAATTTCGCAGTTTCCTTAAAGGCTTGGCAGGCCCAGGCAGGACAGTGAATGAGCAGGAATGGGCTCAGAAAGAGAGAGATTTTCAAAGCACTTGGCTGCAGTGACGCCAGAGCCTCAGGCTTTATGATTTCAGCTGAACTTCAAATGGCGTGGTGTTTAAGGCGATGCCAATGGGGATTCAGGCAAGCTTAGATGAGCAGAAACCTATGGCCCGAGTGCAATATTTGGACTTCATGCGAACAGGACTCATGCTTCCAGAGAGCTTCACCTGAACGGCTTTGAGAGAGAAGCTATGAGCAGACCTCTAGTACTGGCTCAAAACAGACACTTTAAACAAGAGCCAGCCAGAGAAAAACACGTGAACAAGGCACTGGTGGCTTAATGTTTCCTGGAAAACTTCCAATCACATTTCACCCCAAAATAAAAAAAAAAGTTATTTTGCATGAAGAAAATTCTATTTTATAATTTATTATAATATATTTTATATATTATATTTTAATTAATATATATTTTAATATTTATATAATAAATAATATTTTTGTACTTTCATAAAGTCACAAAGCAAAGACCATAATATATTCTTCATTTTCTATATTTGAAATGCTTCTTTTTTTATTTTGGGGGTGAAATATGACCGTAACAGGTTTTATAAGATTCACTTTAGTAGGTTGTGGGTAATGAGTTAACTACGTTTTCTGACTGGTGCCATGCCAAATACTGGCTGAATATTGTTTGCAAAGATGAATGAACAATTGAATGCGTTTCACAGTATATACATCTCATATCACATGAAATTACTACAGTATATCATATGAACATATTATATAATAATGCCAGATTAAACATTTGCCTTTCTTTGTGTTTTAAGTTTGTTTATAGCTACTTTAGCTGACCATTTATCCTACTAAACAAGCATATTCTCCTCGAGTTACTACAGAAAATCATATCAAACCTTCACAGAATGCTTTCAGCGTTAGAAACGGTAATAACACTATAGTTCTAGAAATATGATATTCAATAGGATGTGGAAATATGATATTCACTTTTCCAAAGGGTATTGGTTATTTTCATTTTAAGTGCAACAGGGTCCAACCCTGATGAAAAACAACTTAAACCACTCTCAGCTGGTTTGCTGGTCTCCCAGACTGGTCCGTTTTCTGGTTTTAGAAAGGGTTTGGACACTTTTCAGGTGTGCAGGCTAAACTCAGGCTGAGGAGCCTGCTAAGAGGGTTAAGCTGTTTTTTTTCCCCAATAGTGAAGGGGGTAGTAGTGGCATGACACCGATACAAAAGCCTTCCTCGGCAACAGTGCAATATTGAGAGACCGTGGAGAGCAACCGCGAGCCTTAAAGGTTTGCCTGTGTAAATTTAGACAAGAAACGTACCCTCGGGTTCAGCGGGGGAGCCCAGAGAGTTGACCTGGAAGGGGCGGAAAGGCTTTCCTTCAAAGGCAGGAACCTCCACACTCTCCTCAGAGGACACAGTAACATCAGGCTGTGACTCAGAGATGGAGGACAGGAACTGGTCCATATCTGCCTTTTGATCCTGCAGAAATTCATCTGAATTGGGGGATACAGAGAGGAACATGGTTCAAAACAGCAAATCACAAGATGGAGGAAGGGATCTATTCCTAAAACCATTAAACGAGGCACGAAGCAGTCATAAACGCGATCAATTATCCATTGCGAGGTTCCGTACTGCGGCACTTCCAGGCATCGGTGAAGCTAAAATGACCCTTTCTACTTCTCTAAACTTGCAAAAACACTCTGCACAGAGTCTGGCTTAAAAACTACGCATCTTCACACACTAGTGGGAATCTGGAGCAGTCTTGACCCAGTTCTGTCAAATCCCACACACTAGTCTCATCTATACTACACAATGCCACGGGGCTCCTCTCATAAAATGAACGAAAAAGATGAAAAAAAAAAAAAAAACATAAGTGCAGAGGGGTGTCTCTGGGAACAGCTTGACTGTTTCCACCTGAAACAAAGAGCATGGCGCAACAAACACTTCAGAACACTCCAATTTACGTTGATTGCGGTGAAATGTTTTCAAGCTGAGCGATAAAAAGAGAAGCCAAATAAACACTTGTGTGTGTGTGTGTGTGTGTGTTTGTGTGAGAGAGAGAGCTAATTACTGAAGCCAAGCTTTTCATACAGGTGTAATTATCTTGGCATCTGAGATGCAGAGAGATTGTGGAGTTGTTTAGGGGACTAAAAGCTCAAAGCAGGACAAAAGAATGCATAAAACAGACCGAAAATCTTTGTACAGCTTTATCCGTGATAAATCAAGGAAGCTTTAGAGTTTGACATCAGAGTTCAGTTTGTCGAGCTCACACACTAACGAACCACATCAAGCAAGATGCCTTGAAAAGGGAGGTTTGGGGTTCGGTTTATTTAAACGCAATCTGACATAACTTGCAGGAATGGATCAGTATTGATTACATACAATCTACCTATTTAAGTAACATGAACTGCTCGTTGTTTGGTTGTACAGAAACTTAGTGTGGAATGTTGAACACTTCATGCACTCAACTGTTGCAGCGTTAATTATGTAGCGAAGGGGGAGGGGCTATCAGACTCTCGTTTATGAATGACAAAATAACCATATATAATTCATACACTACATGGTTGAGTAAATAGTGCATAAGTAAATAGTGTGCGTAGTGCGTCATTTGGGACACAGTTAGAGAATCTTAATCATTTTCTCCATAAGGAAAGTGATTTTTAACAATAATGTACAAGCTTTTCATAAAAAAGACCCAACGTGAACTCAAAGATAATTAAATGATGAAATATGCTTCTGTTCAAATTCACAAGTCATGATTTCAACGTCTTAAAAAAAAAGTAACAAAAGTAGAAACAGATCTTTTCTTCCATATTGTGCCGTACATCGGAGTGATAATCAAAAATGAAAAACGAAAAAAAAAACAAGTAGGACAACACTGGGACTTGGTTGTATCATCGGTTGCTGATTAGATGGAAGCAGATCTGAATGAGAGCTTGCAGTCATTAGTAAAAAAAAAAAAAAAAAGTTCAAGCGTTATAAAAATTGATAATTAAATTGACCATTAAATTAAAAATGAAATGCATTCATGTTTTTCAATAACATGTATTTAAAAATTGATAATTTCACGCTGACTTTAATATGCAAAATACCAGTGAAGAACTACACTACCCATAATCCTGCACAGAGATCCACCAATCAGAGCTGTCGTCATTATGGAAAAAAAAAACCAGGGTTCAGCAGTGACCAGACATTCCCATAAAGCATTACAAATGATGCAACAGAGTCTTCTACACTAGAGAATTTTGTAATAAAGAATTTCATACTCCATGATTATGAGCGAATAATTGCACTTCGTACAATAGTTTCTGATCTGATTATACCGTTTGCAGTGTTTCCTGGGATTGTAGTTCATTCCCTTATAGAAGAATTTAAATAGACAATGTTTTTTTTCCTGTTTCAATTTTTGCTTTAAATCTAAGTTTGCAATTTTGTGATTCATCTCAGAGTTGGTTGATTTGGTTCGTAGCTTAAAGAAGACATATTATGCCCCTTTTTACGATATGTAATATAAGTCTCTGGTGTTCCCAGAATTTGTCTGTGAAGTTTCAGCTCAAAATACTCCACAGATCATTTATTATATCATTTTGAAAATGCCTATTTTGAGTGGAAGCAGAAACACGCTGTTTTTCATGCCAGTCTCTTTAAATGCAAATGAGCTTCTGCTCCCCACCCCCTTTTCCAGAATAGAGCTGTGCCATCGATGCGTTTCAAAAAGGCGGGGCATAGAGGAGAAACAATAATGTACAGTATGTGGAAAATAATATGTTTTTTTAACTTTAAACCGCATAGATATTTCATTACACCAAATACACAAAATAATGTTCTTTTTAGCAACATCATATGACCCCTTTAAACATATGAGTTTAAACTTCTGATATACGGTTTTCTGAGCGCACACATCCGAAGCACACGGACAGAAAGCGGCTGTCACAGGCATGTGAGTATTAAAGTAAGTTATTTTTCACACACAAGTTTACGTTGAAAACACACATGAGTTACAAAAAACAGTCGGTTAAGGTCTGTGAAGGTAAACAGTTGGGAAATAAATCGCATGTTTATTTTAGATCTTTGTGGCAGCAGCAATATACATTAAATAAATAATTAAATCCACTGCTCTCGTCTCCTCTGAGGCTGGGACTGTAAACAGTGTTCTGTACTCGTCAGTGCAGCCAAAGACAGAACAGTTAGCATGTTTTGCTCAAACTTTCGCCATGGCATTAGAACTAGTACACCGTTGTCGCTTGCGAAATCAAAATGACGGCGCCGTGGGTGGAAACTTACAGATTAAGGGGCGGTAATATTATAATGAGATCCCTTTGCCACGTCACCAAGGGAGCGAAATCAGACACGCTCGTTTTTCTCAGATGCTTGCAGAAAAAGGCTTCCCAAAACAAAGTTACTGGGTTAATCTTTTTCACGTTTCCTTGGTTGGTAGATGCACTGGGGACCTGATTATAGCACTTAAAACCTGGAAAATCAGATTTTCATATGTCATGTCACCTTTAAAATTATTTTAAAATTCCCTATGGAGAAAATGAATGAGAAAAATACTTCCAGAACCAAAGCCACTAAAAAAACTGGACAGTTCCGCTTGAGTTTTGCAAGCAAACATCTCACATTCTTGATCTCTTACGGTGGATCTGTGGCAGACAGAATCAGTATATTCTCAGCAGCAGACACTGTTGTGCATTTAAGGTCAATGGTAAAACCAAATAGACAAAAACACGAGTAAAACATTGAAGCTGACACCTTCTTCTAAATTGTTACCTAGCAACAGAGGAAAATACCTGCCACTAGTACTCACCATGTTAATCAAGTTCATGACGCAAATAATATAATGTGACAAAAGGTAGTAGTAAAAAATACCAAGCATTATCATCTCTCTCTCTCTTGTTTCTTGCTTATGTGATTTCAAAAATGCCCATTTTCACCATTTTCCAAATCTGATCCAGATCTCCACACTTACCAATCTCATCCTGGATCTCCTCTGCGACGTAGGGCACCTTATAGAGCAGGGACAGGCTCTGGTTCATCCTCTCCTCAATCACCCGCAGGTGGGTCATCACCTAGGAAACCCAGACACACACTTTTAAAACAGAAGATGTCTTACGCAAGATGATATTTATAAAAAGGCTCCATTCTGCAGGATGGAACTTGTCTGTGGTTGTGTATTGTTGGATGGATTAATGTAACTCAGGAAACACAAAAGTTTTGTGGCAATCTTAATACGTAAACAGTGAGGAGAAGAAATGTTGTGACTGTGGGCTGTAAAATGTGTGAGTGTGTACGAGCAACCACGCCTGGTTCTTTGTTGTCACAGCGTTTGTGTGCAATGCTTAAAAACCAGCAACAGATGGCAATGAAGGGCCTATATATCTGAAGAAAACGAAGGGGTAAATTGCTCTTAAAATGTCCTTGTAGACCTTCTAGGCGCCCATCTGGACCTCAGATACTGTATTTAGCTGTCGCACTGTTGCTTTAGGAAGTAAGTTAGTTTATGTTGGTCTGCCAGTCATACCTGGACTTCTACTCGATTGAGAGGAGTTGCCAAAATAGACTGGAGTGCCATTTCTCAAACACAGTTATATAAAGCGCAGCCCCACAAGTCACCAGTGTAACTGCTATTTTTGCTTTTATAAAATCTACATGAGACATGACAGTTGATAAAGGGATAGTTCATCCAAAATGACATGAGGGAAAGCCAATGACAGAATCTTCATTTGGGTGAACTATCCCTTTAACCCCTGTCCCATTGTCCCAAAAAATCTTTTAAATGGGACGAGGGTTACAGATTCAGGGGCAGAATTACAAAAGTAGTTAAGAAATCTCATGAGATGAACTGAGAAAGTCTTCTTGTCAATTCTTGAAAAATTCCTAAGTTCTCAAATATTTTTGAGAATAAGATAATTATTTTTTAATAAGAAAATTACAGGCTTTAGTGGTTTTATCCGATTCTAGCTGAAAAGCGCTAATTAGCTCAACAAAAAAACACCTAAAAGACAGTCTTTTTGCACTGTAATAATCATAATCACGCACACAATTTACATTGCAACTGGCTTGCGGGAGTGCAGAGATGTGCTGCTTTTAAATTTAATTTGTTTTAAATAGTTACTTTTAAAGAGCCTGTTGCAAGACGCAGTGATCCGTTGTTACGGAATTTCAAATTCAGCAAAAAGTAACATGACAGATTATTCTTTACATTATCAATCAATGGTGTCACTTAATGCATATGTTTTATATGTAGCTAATGTGTCGTTGTAATTCTTAATATATTTGAAAAAAAACATATAATAATTAATAATAAAAAAAAAAACCTTCGCCTTCCGGGATTTTAAAATCAAGTTGGAGGTTATCCTAACTCAAACTTAAATTTGAAACAATCAGGAACTGCCATCAGTCAGTAAACAAATACACAGGACATAAACTGTTGTGCATGTGGGTTTAGTTTCCCATGATTCTCAGATCTGTGCACACCTCTGGGTCTGTGCCATGTCCCGTCTCCCATGACAAACATCTGTGCTGGCCAGTCTGGAATGCAAATTATAGAGCCACGCCATTGGCTCAGACTTAAGTTACATCCAATCAAATCACTACGTGTGATGTTACACAAGAGCAGTGCGGTGCAAATCTCTCATATAATGTTTGAACAAGAGAATCCAGTCATGCTAACTCACTCATGGCTCTCCTGGACAATCTGAACACTATACATATGCACAGAAAGCACCATTAAAGGGGTCATATGATGCGATTTCAATTTTTCCTTTCTCTTTGGAGTGTTACAAGCTCTTGGTGCATAAAGAAGATCTGTAAAGTTGCAAAGACTAAAGTCTCAAATCCAAAGAGATATTCTTTATAAAAGTTCAGAGTCAGCCACACCTACCTAAAACGGCTCGTTCTAACACGCCCCCACATATCTACCTCACTATGTGGGAAGATTTGCATAACACCGCCCAAATGTTCACGCAAAGAAAGAAGGCGTAACTTTTAGTCTAACTGTAGTATTGTTGACGCTGCAGCCATGTCGTGAAGGCACGGTGTGCTTCGTTGTGAAAGCGAAACTACTTTGTTTGGTCTTCCAAAAGAGGAC